GGGGGCGGCTATAGTCCCTAAGTTATCACCTCATCGCAGCTGGGGCAACGAGCTGAGCTTGCTGAACTCACGACCTCGCTTACGATAAATGTTTTGGCAGCTGAGGGAATCGAATAAAGTCATCCGACTTTCTGTTAGTATCAACAGCGACATTGTCGAAATTGTATGTTCTGACGAGTGAATGCAAAGGTAGGTCACGACGAGTTCTAAATAGGGTATTTCAATGGAGCTCGAAAAGGAAGTAAGAAGAACAAAACCATATCCAGAGCGCTGTGGTGGGGCGCGCATACCCGCCACCCTCCCTCGTCTATGCCCACCCCGACCACAGCTCTCTTGATCCGGTTTTGTTCTTCTTGCTTGCTTTTCGAGCTCGATTGAAATTCCCCCTTTGAAACTGTTTACTTCATTTTATATTTGACTCAGTGTACGACTCCCAGGACTTCCCAGTATCCCGGCATGCGCCTTCTGCAAGTCTCGGAGCAGACGGTCCGCCGCAGGACCGTCGAGAAGCTCAAGCTTGAGCTTGAGCGATTTCCACTCACCCCGCTCAGGATCAAGGGGGGGCTGCTGTCGTTCAAACCTTCCCTCTTAGCACACCAGGTCAAGGAGGATGACAGCAGATGTACAGTGTCTTTGTATTTAAGGAACTGCGAGGGCAGCGACCGACTCCTGGTTCTCTGCAGGATGACTGGGGGATTCTACGCGCGGGGGCAGTCACAGGAGGCTCCAGCCAGAGCACCTCAAGTTGTGGAAAGGCGTTTTATTATCAACTGTGACGAGGATGATGGAGAAACGCGTCGAGCATTTGATATGGACGAGGTTATCAGTCTTCAACCGGACCACCCGTTTGACCAGGTGACCGTCCTGTTCCACGTGTACGACGTCGCCAGCCCGCGGGCCGCAGTCGGCGTGGGGCACCACCTCAACCAGGCCCGTCTGCAGGGCAACCTTTGCGACCTGAAGCTGGTGGTGGAGGGCGTGGAGCTTCTCGCGCACCGCCTGGTGCTGGCCGCCCGCAGCCCGGTGTTGAGCAACATGCTGACGGGGGACTTCAGGGAAGCCCGCGAGGGTCGCGTCGAGCTGGTGGACGCCTCCAGGGTGGTTGTAGAGAAGTTTCTCGAGTTCCTCTACACGGACCTGATAGAGGAGTGGCAAGACAGCGAGCTGGAGCTGCTGCAGCTCGCGCACAAGTATATGGTGCCGGAGCTGGGCACCGAGTGCTCGCTGAGGCTCTGGAGCTGCGACCCTCCTGGCGCCCTGGAGGTGCTGCACGCCGTCGGCCTGAGCGAGATCATCTGCGGCCCGCTGCGCCAGCGGCTCACGGCCATCGTGGTGGACAACCACAAGGTCCTCGCCGACACCCCGCAATGGCTCGAGTTTAAGAAGACTTTCCCCGTGCTCGTCGACACCATGCTCGGTCACAAAGCTCAGACATCGTACACGATGGCCTCCGTGTGGTCACTCTAAGGGGTTCAAACGGCTTTTGTCGTCTTTGGGGTATTGTTCATTTTAATCAATAAATTTTATGCATTTATCTAACCAATAAATTAATGGAATACAATTTTATACTGTAATTTAATAAGTGGAACAATTGTGTTCTCTGCGGAGGGTTTCGTTTCGCACGAGAGCGCCCTGCATTGAGCATGGCAAGCGTTCCCGCCCAAAGTCCTCCCTGTCATTTACCCTCTTCCCCGCTATTCGCAGACTAACTGCGGGGAGGATGTGAGCGAGCAGTAGATACTCCCACATCCCTCTCTCTCTTCTCAGGATCAAAACAAGCACACAATTTCGTTGATCAATGAGGGGAGTTGTTGATAATGTTTTGCTGAAATCAGCTTTAATATTCGCTCTACCGCAGCCAAAGTTGTAATATGAACACATGGAAGGTTTTACAACGGAAAATATACGACGTTTTGTCTCACAAATATTTTCTTATAGTGTTATTTCCATGTCTAATATTGACTCTTCTGCTTTTGTCTATAATTCAAGTTGGAGAGGTTAGTCAGAAGTTAAATTTTATTTTATTGAAACGATAAGAAGGACATGACATTTTAATGACCTTGTTCGCTTTGAAGTGCTTTTTAGTACGAATTAGAGTCATTATATTCACCATAACTGAACTGCTTTTTGAATATTTCAAACACAAGCAGTGTTATTGTTGCCAGTTGATCATATCAACAATAATTAAATATACATGTATGATATCTTGATGACTTCTATAACCATAACAGGTTTGGACCATCTGGTTCGAGAGAGGCCAACATGGAAATTACGTGTCAAATCCCGGGAGGTATGTAAATGTGCAACATCTTTTGGGAATCTTAAAGCTATTGTACTGCTTAAACCATTATAAATTATTTGTTTTATTTATAGTCCATGTTCCGCTGATATTGAAATTGATGCTGTCTATACATGGGTAAATGGTTCTGATCCTACTCTTTTAAAAGATCTGAAGTATCATAGGGAGAAAAATGAAATAATTGATAGGTGGGCTGAATGTCCTTACCCAGATTGTGAACCCTCGCATATTGTTTTGTACAGGTACAGTACAGTTTTGACTCAAATTTGCACTCAAATTCGCATACCTTGTTCTTACTTTGATGATGAAATTATATTTGCTTAAATTCTAATATTATTTCAGAGGATGTGGAAAATTTTCTAAGCTACTAAGAGACCAGCTTCCACCTATTGAAAGATTAGAAGCTGGTCCCAATTCAGTCACTAGTCTAGTCACCTCCTCATATTGTCAAAATGAGACGTCGAGTCTGATATACTTCTCCAGCATTGATCATGCTGCAAAAGCTATTCTAACAAAAGTTAATGGATCCCTCTCACAAGGATTTTGGACCACAGGTAAAATTTATTTTGATATTTCTTTCTAAATCTCAACAACCAACAATCTTCTTACTCTAATTAATATTTTGCAGACCATGGACTTCCTGAGAGTTATCCAACACCTCAATGGATTCGACTCTCCGGTTTGGTGTCAAAATTTTTTTCAATTCCGGCTGATTCTATGAAGAAAATGCTTTCCAAGCAAATTCACTCTGATATTTTAGAAATTTGGCCCAATGCCGAGCATAGCTTTGTAATCTTGAAGCTATTAACCCCACAGGCTGTTGATCAAATCTTTTTGGTGAGAATTCATTCAACCTTTCGGAGAAAATCTCGCATTTAAATTTTTTAAATGTGTTTATCTCTTTCTACAGAAATCAAGAGTACTCAATCTAGCTGGAGACTTAGTAGTTGTTACCAAAATTGCTTTAGTTTTTAATTACCCTGTAAGAAACCGCTTTGATCACTTCGCACCATCAAGATTTGAGGATAAAGAGGTAAAGATAGCAGATGAGTGAAAGTATATTTTTTAGAATATGTTTAAAATTACTCAATCAATGTTTCTCAAACAACAGGAACTTCGATATTCCTTACGGTCACTTGAAAAGCATGCACCATGGATCCGTCGTGTCTATCTTGTGACTAATGGACAAATTCCCCACTGGCTTGATTTAGATAACCAACGTATCACATTGGTCACTCACAAAGATATATTTCCAAATCAGAGTCACTTACCAACATTTAGCAGTCCTGCTATTGAATCCCATCTGCATAAGTATGTCCTTTCTTTAAATCCTACTAAAGTGTCAGTAAAAATTATCAAGTGACAATGACTTTCAATCTATGTTCATCAGGATAAAAGGACTTTCTAATAAATTTTTATACCTGAATGATGATATCATGTTTACTCAAAATGTATGGCCTGAGGATTTCTTTACAAATTCAAAAGGATTTAAGGTATATTCTTGTTTTAGTAATAAAATAAATTAAATTATCTATATTTATCTGATACATCATTTTTGGATCTCAAATAATTTTTCTCTATCTCAAACTTGTTTTAGATCTACCTCTCCTGGCCTGTTCCGGATTGCAGTCCCACATGTCTATGGTCATGGGTTGCAGATGGCTCATGTGATTCTGAATGTAATGTAGTTGAGTGTGGATTTGATGGAGGTGATTGTAATGGAACAGACAGCTTCCCAAATTCATTGAAGGTAGTGTTCAATGACATTACTTTTACGGAGCCATAAATAATTGTATTATTGTTTGACCTATGACCTAATATGTACTTCTACGCTTTAGATTCGCCTGCCAAGGGAAGAATTTTCTGTCTATGATGAATTTTACGATCTAGCCCTGGAGAAAGCCGACAACTTTATGAAGAATGCACCTGATATCAATTTCAATTACTTGCAAGCACCAGCTGCAGGTCTTGCTGAAAACAATCTCCACAGTCGAATTAAAAAAGTAGCTCTAATTCCTGGGGAAGAAGATGATGACCTTATAAGACTTCAAGAACCAAACAGAGACTATGGAGGAAGAGACAGTACAAAGCGGCACAAACGAGCTGCTGTGAAGAAGAACTTGGCTAGCAAGAGCTACTTTGAAAGTAGCATGGTAGCAGGCCAGTCTGCTGATTTCCCTGGAAGTGTAACAAATTCAGACAGTGGTATAAGACGGGCTCTACTTGCTGCAGATCAACTCAAAGGGGCTGAACGACCAAGGCATAGATCACCGTTCCCACAAACAGATGTGAATAATACATCTGTTGAAATGAATAGCAAAAGGATTGTAAGAACTGGTGGAACATCAAAATTAAATGGTTCCCTTTATGGTTCAATTAATGATAGACAGCAGAATCATGGCCAGTTTCCTCAACATGCAAACTCACATCCAAATCAAAGCATTACATTAAGTGTCAACAATACAACAAATAATTTACGAAGCATTACCATGATCAACAACAGTTTGAGAAGCACTCATGTACTGACATCTGTGAGAAATAGAAATGTAAAGAATTTCTTGAGATTATTAAATTCTACCAAAGAAAAACGTCTACATAATCTTATGGAAAATGAGCTAAATGAGTCAATTGATCAGACGTTGATGGAGAAAGGTACTATTTAATTAGATTAGATTGTTGGAGTTATCAATTCATCATTCTGAACTGCTTACTATTTTCACACATACATAACTGTATTTTGTTACAGAAAATCATAGGCAAATATGGTACGGAAAGTCAAAACATAGAATATTGGACTCCTTCGCAGAAAGTCTATTGCATGTCAACATGTTATATAACCGTGTTTATGGATTTGAGACTAGACGTGTCCCTGCTCATGCTCCCCATCTGATTGAGAAACATATAATGGGTGAACTACAAGAAAAGTAAATCACTAAATCTTCAGTGAAAATTAATTGGTTTACAAAGAACATCTCTCAAAGTGTTTCTCATATTTGTACAGGTTTCCAAAAGAGTGGGAGGAGACATCATCTCATAAGCTGAGAAGTCCTAAAGACATGCAGTTTGCTTTCTCTTATTTTTATTTTTTGATGAGTGAGGAAAAAGATATGAGTGTTGAAGAACTCTTTAATTTATATGATACTGATCATTCCAGGTATTACTCCAATTCTAACTTCCTGTAATTTTTAAAGGTTCATACATTTTAAATATTCTTTTGAATCTTACAGAACTTGGTCTGATAGGGAGATTCGCACATTGATGACAAGGTTGTACCCAGCTCCATTGAATCCACATCACCTGCTTCAATTCGAAGAGTTTGTTTTAACTTGTGCGAAAAACGCTCCTTCATCAGAGGCTCCAGCAATACAAATGTCCACACCTATGTATGAAAGATATCAGGATTCCCCATTGGTAAGCTACAGTAATTTGTTTTATCAGCACAAATATGAAATATAATTTTTAAAATGTGTTTGCATTCCATTTTTTTATTTTTTTATTTTTTTTTTACAGCCTACTGTCACCTGGAATTTAGTAAATAATTGCCCAGCATTAAAAAAATTAATGTTAACCAATCTGGGCAAGGAAAAAAAATACCCGTATGAAATTGTGAAGGAGTGGAGCAAAGATGTTATATTCAAAATGCTTCACTCAAATGTTTCACATCTTGTTGGGCACTTAGATGACATCCGTCGGAATCCCAAGTATGTTGTTTTTAAAATTTACAAATTGCTTTCCTACACAAATTTAAGACTCATTTTTTTTATCCATCTTTATTGTTGTGCTGTTTGATTTCTACAGGAAGTTTGTGTGTCTAAATGATAACTTGGACCCAAAGCAAGAGACTGAAAATGCTATGGTTCGAGCTGTTTTGAGGGACTTTTATCATTCTTTTTTCCCTCTCCCCTCAAAATTTGAGCTACCCCTTGATATGCGCAATAGATTTCTTCATGTAACTGAGCTAGAGGACTGGAAAAAAAGTAGAGCTCAGCTACGTATTGCAGCCATTCTTGCTGTTATTACTTTGTGTCTTCTAACTTTTGCTGTTGTATGTCCAGAGGAGGTAAGGAGAGAAATTTTATGTATTGTCTCTTACACATGTTTCTTGACATTATCATATTTTAAGTTGTTTTTGATTTTAATCTGTTTGATATTCCTTAAGGTTCGTCATTACGGACGCAGAATTTTTGAGCTGGCATTTTGTTATCAACGGCGAAGACCGAGTAGAATAAGAGGCAAAAGCCGCAGCCCAGTACGTGGCTCAAGTAGCACTCGCTCAGTATGACATCAAATATTGTGTTATCATTGTGATCATTCCCTTTTGTGAAGTCTTATTTTCTGCTGTGACACTGAACCCTTTGTATAAGCCAAAAAAGATGAATTTTGCTGAATAGGTGTATAAAATTTCCAAAATTTATTTTGTGTTGGCTGACTTTTACATATGTATTTGTTGAAACATTGTGATAATGTATTTCTTAAGTAATGGTTTCACTTCACACCAGATCTTTCTTGAATACTAGTACTAGTACGAATGAATTAGCCAGATAAGTTTTTCTATATTGTGTTTTGTACTACTGTACCTAGAAGTGTCATACCTTTGAGTTGTTGTGCCATCCTTACAGTGATTATTGTATTTTTTTGTCGTTGATTGTTATAGAAACTTTATTGATTATATCAAAAAAGGGGAGCAGTAAAACTATCAGGTGCATTTAATACATAATTCAAATCTTAAAGATTTAGTTTAGTTTTATTTTTGTAATCTAAGTAGTTGCCATAATTACTGTGACATGCAAAGTTATGTTCTTTCATGTATTTTTGCTCATACTCCTGTCTGGCAAACAAAGCTCATTATTGTTCTAATAAGCTTTGTATGGGTAGCATTTTTATTGTAATGATGTCCTACCACTCCTACTCATTAGATTGTACCCCACCACAGTGACCACTAGGTCTCTAGTGAATATATCCTGTTATTAGCTTTTATCTTTAGAGTGGGCCATTGATTTAAAATGGAAACAAAATGTCTATGAGTTTTAAAGTTGTTTTTTTAGACATTGATTGATCCTGTATGCTTTACATTAATTTTTCAGATCGAAGTTGGTATTTTATGTGTAGTTGTAATTGCTAGTTCCTGCTTTATTTTATTTTGCTGAGGCACTGCTTGCGCAATGTTAAATGTGATAATTATTACCACTTCTAAGTTTTGTTCTGACTGGTACTGTTAACTGATTTTTATTTTATCTCCCTTTTTCTGTCTTTGAAGGCTTCAAATTGACAAGTAGAAGTACTCACTTATAATCAGTCACATTCTTTTTAAACTTATTTGAAGTATACTATTACCTTTGTTTCTCCATCTGGTGCCTTAAACAATAAGTGTTTAATGAATCTGCCAAGCTATTTATCTGGTCATATCTATTTTTAAAACCTAGTTATTTAATTTTGATAAGACAAACTTGCTACCTATCGTGATTTTCAATTTCCTACTGTGAGAAGCGTTTTGTATTCCAAGGCATTTATTTGAGGGATTTTTATGTATGTCTTATTTCCATGAAAATGAAACCAAGTTGACGCTATTTTTCAAAAAGATGTAGTTACAAAGGTCTACAACAAAAAAGCAAAAGGAAATGAGCTTTTTAAGGACCTTGTTGGTCAGTTTACTAAAATATGAGACCAAAGTATCACATGCCATCAAGACTGAGCCAACATGCAAAGAACAGTCCTATTACACTCTAGATTTAGGGAAAATGATCAATCTGCAGAATCAAGTTCCTAAATTATTTTTATTATTATTATTGTCTGTGATTTGTCCTAAATGAGATAAAATCTCATACCAATGATAAGGTACACTCAGCTTTATTAGTCTCTTTCTGTAGCAGTTTTTGTTATATCATTTTTGTAACAGCTTCAATAAAGTGATGAACTGTAATCATGGCTCTAATTCCATCGTCTTTCTCAGTCAAGTTTAAAATCCTTAATAGTTTCGAGAAAGCATGGTGAAAGTGTGAAAATGGTCGTTCTGTCAAAAGAAAGTGTTTTTTCGTTCCCGTCTATCCTTGAGAAAAGGGCTATCTTTGGGCAGGGCAGACGCACTCATTTGGTTCTTCCCGCTCACTTCAACAAGTTCAATTTTCAAACCTGTATGTTGGCAATTTTGGCCAATTTGAAATCCTTCCTTCTTCTTTTTTTGTTTTCCCGCCGCACGCCGCAGCCGCCCGCACACACACTCACCCAACAGCGAAAGCACGGCACTGGTTGTCAGCATTTCAAAGGAACTACTGCGTAAATAGTGATTTATGATTTTTATTCCTGCTTGTAGGATCTGCAAGAGGGCAACTTCGGTTTCCTAAGTTGTCGAACTTTTCACGTAGTTCAGTGAGAAAGTGTTTTGAGTGCACATCTGTTCAGGGTCAAATTTGACCCATATTTTGTAGGTTAGTTTTACCCCCTACATACATTCCTTGATAATACTTCTCGTGCCATTTCTTATACTCCTCAGTGCGTCACTAGTGACGGGTGATATTTCTTCTCAACTCGCGTTTTGTCGTATTTGTGTTAGGACATCCTCGTGACCTTACCGTAGTAATGGCGAAGAGAACTGCAACAACAGAACTGAACCATGACAATTGGTGTGAAGAAGACGAACCGGAGGCAGCAGGAGTATTTAAACGAGCATCAGACGATGCAATAAAGGGACGGCAAATCAGGACAGCTAGACGCAGAGGTGTTGCATCGGCCGGAACCGATTCTGATGCTCCTGAGGCCCAGGTACTGTGTTTCGCATACTATCAACATTTGTATAGTTTTGTGAGTTTTAGCCCATATCTTCACCCACATCTTATGTTTCACCAGTCTGTATCGAAGAGTGTGTTTGCTGGATTTACTGGATTTAATAAAAAGGCAGACCCAGCCCCTTCAAAGGGTCTGTTCAGTTTCCTTGCCGCAACTCCTAATGGAAGTAGCCCTAAAGAGGACTCTGGATCGACTGTCAAAGCCATTCCATCTCAGCCAGCTGTGACATCTGAAATTGAGAAGAAGTCTGTTAATGGGATTGATAGTGTGTCAGATCCCTCTGTTAAAACCAATAGTGGTAAGCGAAACTCAATTTTTAGAATCATTTTGACCCAATGTGACTATTAATTTTGGAGTAGATTATAGTCCTAAATTGTATTTTTTTTATTTACTGCAGATAAAGAATACTACAGAAAATTAAAGGGGCTCAATGAAAGTGTATCAAAATGGATAAGTTCTCATGTGTCTAGTAATCCGTTAATTTTACTAACCCCTATCTTTCGTGACTATGAAAAACATCTTGCTAATATTCAGGGCAAAGGTAAATCTTTAATATAGCTGTTCTTTGCTATAAAAATGCAGCTGTCATTACAAAATGCTTTTGACTTTCATCTGTTGATCTAAAGATGCTGATTTAGTTGTTTTGCTTTTAGGGGAAAGTAAACCAGAAAATTCATCTGTCCAGCAAGAGCCAACAGGCACTTTTAATGTCAATAAGGTCTCTGACTCAAGTGCAGTAGCTGGCAATAGCAAAACAGAAGACACTACTAATAAGCCAAGTGAAGAGAAAAAAACCTTTAGCTCTAGTATATTTGGTTCTGCTGCCAGCAGTGCACCGACTGCAATGTCAACCGCCACTTCAACATTTAGCTTTGGCTCCGGCACAGCTCCTCAAGCACAACCACAGTTTCATTTTGGTTCACCTACAACTTCTAGCACAACTGGCAGTACTCCAACTTTCAGCTTTGGATCTGCCAGCTCAACATCTCCATCTGCAGGATTTTCTTTTGGAAGTGGTAAACCTTTCACATTTTCAAATGTTGCTTCAAATGCTGACGAGAAAAAGGATGATGAGGAAGAGGCTGATGAGGACACCCCACCTAAGCCAGATCATAAGCCAGTAAATGAAGAAGGAGCCACGTATACTAAAAGGTCTGCTGTTATTCATTTTTTTAAAGCATTCTGATTGTCCCTATTATTTACTCACAGTATTATTTTTACCCCCAGGTGTAAAGTCTTTATCAAACAAGGTAAAGACTACTCTGACCGAGGAATTGGAAATTTGTTCCTAAAACCAGTTGATGGTGGAAAAACTCAGCTCATTGTGCGGGCTGATACAAGTCTTGGCAACGTGCTACTGAATACCCTTGTGAGCTCAAGTTTACCTGTCCAAAGGATTGGAACCAACAATGTAGCAGTTGTTTGTATACCTACCCCAGATTCTCAGCCACCTCCAGTTACTGTTCTTATTAGAGTGAAGACAAGTGATGATGCAGATGAACTATTTAACAAATTGGAGAAGCACAAGAAAGAAGCAACATAAATTGGACTTATTAAGCTTTCAGGTTTCCTTTTGACTGAGTTGACAACATCTGATTGTGATGTAGAAGAAAGACAAAGCCTGAACTGGGCTATTTGATTGTTACAATTCTCAAGTATTCACTGTCCAAACAAGTTTGTCAAGTGTTTAAGAGAAGCTTTCTATTTATTGCACATAAGTTTGACAAGACAAAACAGCAGATGTTTGTTGCTATCCCATACCTACTAAATCGTAGTTCCTCCATTCAATAGATTAGTGTATTGATGACACTGTCAGCGTTGCACTGGAAGCATTTCTTAAATTTCCATCTACCTAGCTCAATTTCTAAAGCATTAAAGGCATCAATTGTATGTACTACGAAATCAATTTGACTCTTATCATAACCTTGATTTTGTTGTAGTCTATGAGAGAACTGTGATTAATTAAAATTGTTAGATTAAAATTTTTGTTGAGTGAGTGAAGACTGGAGTGTGCAATCAAGTACATCACTTTTTATCAGGACACTGATTTCTCTCTAGAGTAAATTACATTGCATATAG